AGTTTTAAGTGTTTTGGCAAACTTTTATTAGTACGCAGTGTTAACTTCGTCAAAATACCCGCATTTACCTTATATTTTTGAGAAATTTCTCTTATTAAAATTTATTACACATCTTACCTGTATAATTCACTTTAAGCCCACTGTGATTGATCATCAATATTCCACGCGGTTGGTAAAACAAGACCATTGAGAGAAGTATTCTCTCCCATTACATCAAATTTCTATTCAGATTTTTTTTTATCTAGACAAACGATTTTATTTTAGACGAATTATTGTCAGCAAAGTGTAAGTCTAATTTATTTAGACGTACACACCTTCATGTTACGCAATATCAGCCCATTTTTAATCAGTACATAGTGGGAAAATGCGGAGCATGATACGTATTACGTATACGTATCAATTACTATATCTTTTCCCTTAACATAATTATGGATACTGTAATCGCAGAAAACCTTAACTTTTTATTTTCGCATAATCGTTCTATAGGCGATACGATAAATATTATATAGCTAAATTTATCAGATTTACGAAAATACAAAATGTAATAAAGAAATTTGTCGAATTATAACAAATCAAGTAAAAATTGCGGAACGTGCCATTGAAGAAATATAAGAAATGATGAAGAAAAAAGGATATTATTCGATAGCTTACTATGATCGTACCAACAGATAACTCATTTATCTGGTAGCGAATTTAATATTGTCATTTCTGGGCCCAGAAGCTGACATATTGAATTTCATAGCCAGATAATGAATTATTTTACAAATAATTCCGTTATCGTATCCAATCGTTGACTCTCACTTTCTCGAAACCCACTTTCCGAAAAACTATTTTCCGACATCACATAGGGTTAGGGTTAGCATCTTGTTAGTTGTAGATATATATTTTTAGCAAATTGTCACCTGTGTGATGTCGGGTAAGTGACATGTCGGGGAAATGGCTTTCGGGAAATCGTACCGTAACCGTATCCAATAACTATTTAATATGTCGTATTTAAACGTTTTGAAAACGTGTTAACGAATGTCAAAGAGTTTACTAAGAAAGTATTAAATATCAAAGATTATAAAAAAAATATCTTAATACAAAAGAAGTTAAATGTAAATATGCAAAAGAACATGATACGTAAATGTATGGAAGATCTACATTTTGCTATTGCTGTTTCTAATAAAGATGAAGAGTTACGAAAAGTCAATGAATCTCTAAAAGAGATTAATTAAGTATAACTAATAAAGAATTATTTAGAAAGGTTAATTTATATTATATTGTCTATTTATTTCTATTTATTTAATATGCGCTTTTATTTTAGACACACAAGGAAAGTTGTTGCTGGGGTTCAATCTTCTATATCTTACAAGATGGCTATGTGAAAAAAGATTGGTCCAAATGAATACCCCCAAAAAATCGCTCTACTTATGTCATTAAAAAGTTTTATGGTACAATTGAAGTTGAATGTAAAACTTCAAAGAAACTAAATCTTCCCAAAGTCATTTAGCAATATTTGGAAAATTAAATTCGTCATACATTTACCATTTCTATGGTCTCTCATACGTTGATCTCAAAAAATTATGGTTTTTAATTGAGTTGAATATGGATCATTAAAAGATCTTTATTACACTTCGCGTATCATAAATATTTTTCATCATGATCTTAGGTATGAAAAAGTTTTAGTAAGTACTATTCATATTTCTATTGGTCAAGAACTCATTAAAAGTATTGTGAATAAAGGCTATTAATACTACTGTATTAAATTTAAATTGTCTTTTTTTTTTTTTAAACGCGTAAACATATGCAAATATATATTTTGGTCATGTCAATCAATTAAATTTCATGCTTAATTTCATCGATATGTAATCTCAAAATGCAATTTCGAAATAAGATACTTCAAAGGTTTTTGACATAAGAGAAAAAAAAATATATCACTTAAAAATAAAAAATAATAATAATTGTTTTCATAATGAAGAATGTCTGTTATATTTTAATATACACGTATTATATTAGAAGCAAAAACTGGTTTTTCTTACAAATCATTACCCCGAAAATTTTCTGACATTACACTTGACCGCTAAGCTGCAATCTGACGAAAGTAAATGAGTAAAATAAATTGAATAAAAGACCTTTTACTTGGGCTCTTTTTTTATTCTTGGTTTCTTGGATCTCTTAGGCGTTTTTGTCACTGGTAGCATATTTTAAATCATTTTGGCGTATTTTTTAACTCTAGCAGCATTCTATATCTTGAATCACTTTGGCGTAGTCTTACCTCCAATAGCATTCTTGAATCTCTTTGGTACCTTACCATCAACAATAGCATTATTTTACATTAAGTCTCTTCAGTACCTCCGTTCTTTTCTTTGAATTTCTTTGCCTGAGTTGTCACGGCACATTCTATTTTTGATTAGTAGTATTTTTTTTTTCTCTCTATATATATATTTTTGTCTAAATTTTCGCGGCATATTCTTCCTCTCTAAGTCTTTTCAGACGTTCAGTCTTAAATAATACTTTTTTTCTATACATATAATTTTTTTTTTGTTGTGCTTATTGACCGATCGATAGGTTGTACACTAACAATCTACATCTGAGGTGCGTCAGCTGTGATCTGAGGCAAGCGTTAGTCTGAGGCACAACATATATACTTGCTTTATGAAATAGGTTATTTTTGCAATATTTTTGTTTATAACATTTATTAAATATGTAGGAGAATAAAAAAAATGTATATACTATGTGTAGGGGGAATAAAAAAATATATAGGAAAATGAATGCAAAAATGGCGTCAATTAAATTAAGATAGACAATAATAAAGTTAATGAGATAACGATAATAGTAACTATAAATCATTATTTATTCATTCTGATTGCCATTCGCGACGATATTTTATTACTACTTATTTTCATGACAAATCAAAAGGAAATTTTATTCAAAGTTTAAAATAACATTTGCATTTGCTATACTACACGTTTGTGCGATGTTTACGCGTAAGCGTTGTTAATTAGCATGTATGTGAAAATGGAACACCCAAGTTCCATCACGTTTGCATTAAATTAATAATTTATTACTATAAAGGAGATCGGGGGAAGTTAACGTAGTCAACAATGAAGTCTATAAAATGAAATACTTACATTTGATTAATACTGCTTCTAATATATGCATTAAATTTAATATTTAATAAAATAAAAATAATAAAATTTACTTCATTATTGTAACGGTAATAAAATCCGTTATTAAAAAGTTTATTTTATAACGTATAAAAAAAGCTAATTTAAAAAACTATGACAAAGAAGAATATTGCGAACGACAAATGGTGATGCTCCATAATTCAATGAATCTTTAAACTCTTTATCTCTAAGAGAAAGATTGATCATATGAGCGTGCCATTGTTATTATATGTTGCTTCATATAGTAATACTCTTGACTTGATTTAAATAATATATAGGTTTTATCAGCAAAAGTTCGGATTACTATAAATGATTCTTTAAGACTACATAATTAATTATTCCAAAGTATCATTTTATTAGTAAAGATCCCATTAAATGCAGCAACAGCGACACATCCGAACTTTGAGGCCGCCCTGACAAAGTCTAATATATACCGATACATACGTGTTTTCTAGTATCTCTATTGATGGACTTGACACAATATTAGTCGATTCAAATAGACTAACCGACTCAAGTCTATTCGTAGGTCATGACTCGTCACAAGTTACTACAGCATAATATCCTTCATAAATAAATGAATGCCCGATACAAAGTAAAAATTATTATACACATTATTTGTAATTTTGAAATAAAAAGAAGTTGTCTCGTTCTTTCTTCTTTAATTTTTTTCTCCAAGATCTGAAAAAAAAAATAAAAAAATGACACAATTAAATGCAATTAACAATACACCATATACAAAAAAAGCATCAAGTTATGTTAATATCATAAATGAATTACGTCGAATCGGTACTGACTCTACAGTCAGTTTACCGACAATAGTTTTTTGCGGTAATCAATCCGCTGGAAAAAGTAGCTTGATCGAAGCTATTTCGGGAGTCAAGGTATTTTGTCTTATGGTTTAGTATCATTTATTGAGTTTTTATTATTATCAACACTTGAAATACATATCATTTTGTTTAAATAGCTCCCAAGATCTGATGGCACTTGTACGAGATGCGTAATGGAAATAAGACTTAGCGAATATGTAGATGAGTGGATGTGTCAAGTTTTTTTGCGTAAAGAGTATGATGAAAATGAAAACAGACTCAATCGACCAATCGAATCAAAATTTGGTTCTTTAATAATTAATCCCGATGATGTGGAATTAATGGCACGTAGGGCACAAAAAGCTCTATTAAATCCAAGAAAAAATAGTGACATATATTTTAATTGGGATTTTGGTAACAAGAATTATGATGATGATTCTAAATCAAATGCTATTAAATTTACAAAAAACGTTGTATGCATTGAGATAAAGGGACCCGATGTCCCAAATCTAAGTTTGATTGATTTGCCAGGGATCATAAGTACGTTATTTCTTAATAGCATACTGTAACTTTTATTACAGTATTATTATTATCTTATTTCATTAAATTTCATGTCAAATTCAATAGGATATACTGAAAAATCAGAAGATGAAAAATTTATTGCACTAATCGAAGAACTCGTTAAAGAATACATAGAGAAAGAAAAATCTATCATTGTAGCAACAATCTCATGCAAAGATGACATTGATAATCAAGCCATCGTTAGCTTAGCAAAAAATGCTGATATCTCCGGCATAAGAACACTCGGTGTTCTTACAAAACCTGATACCATTGAAGAGGGGACCCATGATAAATGGTTAAAAATAATGAAAAATGAAGCCCATAAGCTCGATTTAGGATATTTTGTGGTAAAAAATCCGTCACAAAAACATCTTAATGACGGAATTACTTTTGAGGAGGCTAGAGAAGATGAAATAAGTGTAAGATTTATACATTATTATTTATTAAGTTTTGGAATTTATAGTATTATGCTTAATATCAAATATTTATATATATTTGTAATAGTTTTTTGAAAAAGGATTCTGGAAGAACCTTCACATAAGAGAAAGGATAGGTGTAGTCAAATTGAGACTAAAACTATCAGACTTACTGATTCAATCCATCATAAGAGGATTACCTTCAGTAAGGAAAGAGATCGAAGAAAAGTTGATCGAGGTATTTATAAAAATCCTTTTTTCAAATCTAATTTATTTAATATAATTTATGTTGTAAATCTTAAATATTATTTGATATTGCTAGACACGTCAAGAGCTAGAAAAAATTCCTGAAAAACTAAGTGATAATCCTAGCATTGAGATTTATAGAATGGCCAAACAATGTTGCTCAATAATTAAAGCAAAAACTGCGTGTTCAAATAATCAAATAGACTTATGGCAGTCTATTAATAAAAAATTTGAATACTTCAAACAAGAACTTTATTCATCGAGACCGATATTCACCGTTGGCAATAATGAAACTGAAATTGATTTATTAGACGAGTATATTAAAACAAAGGTTATTGAAAAAACTTATTCTAATAAATATACTTATAATAATAGCATTAGTGACCAATTGTCCCGTGTAAAATTTACGGGAAATTATCAGACTACCGAATTACTAAAGGTATCTGAAGCACAAGTAAATGAAAGGATCAAAACTTCCCGCGGAAGACTATTACCTGGGTTTATCCCATCCTCCGTTGCCGAATCCCTAATAAAGAAAACTAATTTGAATTGGAGAGCACCAGCAATTAATTGTTTAAATTCCATTTACTTGGTTATTTTAAAATTGGTTAATAAAAGTGTCGATGATACATTTTCAAGATTTCCAAATCTAGTTGGACAAATAAGGTACGTATTAACCACATATTCAGTTTTCTAAATAATTGTCATAAGATAACTTTTCTCTTGCTTAAAAAATTAATGTATATATACGTATTATATCTATTAAGATATATCACAAATTCATGGTTAGATGAATGCAAAGAATTAACCACAAAATACATTGATTTAATCTATCAAATGCAATCATCCAATCCATTTACACTTGATGATAAATCAATAACTTCTCAAAAATCAATATATCTAAGTGCTTTTCACGAAGTTTTAAAACGTGAAAATCAAGAACCTACAAGCACTTTAGAAATTATGGCATTAGTCATGGCCTATTTCAAACTTGCACTTAATCGTTACGTGGACATTATAGCCATGACTATCATTCATACTTTCATTGACCAATTCACTAAACATATTGAAGAAAGAATGATAGGAATTTGCGTACTTGATGGTAAATACAAGTTAGATGAACTGATTAAGGAGGATGACACTATTAAGCAACATAGAGATTATTTAACAAATCTCGAGAAGAATTTGAAAGAAAGTCTTGATAATATTGTTAAATTTGGTATTTAACAGTTAAATAGTTTTTGAAATTCTATAATTGTATTTTTTTAAATATATAATAAATATAGCTGATTTGAAATTTGTAAGTTTGTAAGAAGTTAAAGTTTTAATTGACAAATAATTTATATAACGACAAATCGTTAGTGTTAATTCGAATTGCAATTAAACATATATAATTAAACATATATCGATATGCATTTGTTTCACATATTATTTCGTTCATGTGCGACTTCAGGCGCCTAAAATATGTAACAGCTTCAGGAAAATATCAACACCAGGTACGACATATGTTTGCTTTATTCTAACCGTTTAATGCTATTTGTTATAGTTATTGTATGAGTTGTAAAAAATAACCAAATTTGCACGGTGCCAAATCATCTGGACCTGTATGTTAACTTTACGCAATAGACTAATCATTGATAGTTAAACGCGTTTTATTCTAAATCGAAAGTGCGTAAAGATCAGAATTTACACGTGTGTGGGTTTTTATATACATCTACTGTATATAACTAAATTTCGTGCTGAAAATTTTTATTTAAAAGTTAAAACTGCAATTGACATAGTAAAATCTAGTTACGGCTGATGCTGATTTGGGCTGATGCTGATTTTTGGGGTCTCAATTTGGATCCATTACACCTACTAAAACCCACATATACTCTAACAATTCTAACCCTAAATTCTAGTCCAACTATTAAAAAAAAGCCAAAAAATATACCCCAAAAAATTATAAAATTTGTATTAAAATAGGCCCCAAAATCGGCATCAGCCAAAATCAGCATCAGCCGTGACAATTAATATAAATTATCATAAAATTATCAGATTGCAAAACGACGTATGCTAGGTAAATTCTTAACCCTCTTTAAATTGCATCTCAAAGTAATATCGATATGGTTAAATTACATAAGTATACATTATTCGGCAAAAATTGACGAATAACGGTAATTTGGCTCAAGCGGGCCACCCAAAAAAGTTAACTACCCCAGCGTAACCATCAAAAAAAGCACGGGCATGTGATTTTATGTGGCTTATGTGGCTTATGCATTATACAT